TTTTTTTGAGGCAGAGTCTTGCTCTGTCACCCAGGCTGGAGTGCAGTGGCACAATCTCACTCAGCTCACTGCAACCTCCACCTCCAGGGTTCAAGCGATTTTCGTGCCTCAGCCTCCCAAGTAGCTGGGATTACAGGCACACGCCACCACACCTGGCTAATTTTTGTATTTTTGGTAGAGATGGGGTTTCACCGTGTTGGCCAGGCTGGTCTTGAACTCTGACCTCTGGTGACCCTCCCGCCTCGGCCTCCCAAAGTGCTGGGATAGGTGTGAGCCACCATGCCTGGCCTTGAGTCTCAGTGTCTCCTTAGCACATCTACTAAAGAAGGGTATGTGGGTGAGATGGGTCACATAACCCATTGTGAGGGTCAGACCGCCGGCATTGGAATGAGGAGGCTCGTGGTGAGCAGAGGGCGCAGCGCCCCAGTGAGTCACTCTTCTTTTTCCACAGCGTAATGTTATTGTTTCCCTTGCAAAGGTCATATTTTGACCAAAGTCCTTGTCTGATTCAGAAGCATGCCCTGACCATTAGCCCTTGAAACCTACAGTTTTCTTTATTTGTAGCCAGGTCTGATGGCACCCTAATTTTCTTGGTAACTGAGCTGGGGTATTGGCAGGTGGCAAGGGCCTGCCCCTCCTGAGCTCTTCCATTTGTTGAATCAGGACCAGGTGATGCCATGGTCTGTAGCCTATTCCCTAGAAGTAGGACAGAATTCGTTTGAACTCTCAGAATCAGACCATTTTATGCTTTCTCTATTTCATACCCCTTCTTCCCTTGGCTCTATTTTTTTCTGGATTTTGCGACAAAATATGTTTCAACTTTAAAATTGGAGCGCAAACAGACGTCTGGTATTGTTTATCTCCCTTCTGTCTGTCCTGTCCCATGTTGTCAAAAAAAACACCCAAGACTCTTTTATTTTAGATGATTGCTTTTTTGCTTTATTCTTAGGATATGGAAGAACCGACCCAAATCCCTCTTTTAACTTTCTGTTATCTCCACACTGAATGAAAAGCAGTGAATAGCTTGGTTTAATTTTTGACTTCATCATATGAAATTCATGAAACAAGGTATCAGAAACAGGAAATTTTAAAGTAAGGCAGAATTGGTATCTTTTGGGTAAACACACACACACTGACACCGAAAACAAGCAAAACAACCATATTTTTCTCCCTCCCTCCATCCAGAGCAACTGTCCACATTCAGGTGAACGACGTGAATGAGTACGCGCCCGTGTTCAAGGAGAAGTCCTACAAAGCCACGGTCATCGAGGGGAAGCAGTACGACAGCATTTTGAGGGTGGAGGCCATGGATGCCGACTGCTCCCCTCAGTTCAGCCAGATTTGCAGCTACGAAATCATCACTCCAGACGTGCCCTTTACTGTCGACAAAGATGGTAAGAACGGAGGAGTGCGCTTTCCTTAGCTGGGTAGATAGTCCCTGCCAACCCCACTGACTTTACACCCCAGCTTCTGTGCTTTGTCAGAACTCCACGAAACTCACAAACGGGAGACCTAACCTGGTGTGCTTCCGCTTTTAATTGTAAAAACATTTAAGTTCCTACTTTGTCCCCTGACAGCTTCTTCTGTGGAACCTGAAAGTCCTGTGTTCTCCTGTTTTTTCGCTTTCCCACCAAAATCAAATAAAAATCCTCCCACCTGACATGGCTTTATTTTTTTAATCTTCTTAACTTTCAGTCCACATGCATCTGTATGAGACTGACCTTTACATTTAGTTTCTCATTTTCTGTTCTTCATTAAGTTTTTTGTTTTTGTTTTTGTGGTTTTTTTTGAGACATAGTCTCACTGCGTTCCCCAGGCTGGAGTGCAGTGGCACAATCTCAGCTCACTACAACCTCTGCCTCCTGGGTTCAAGTGATTCTCCTGCCTCAGCCTCTCGAGTAGCTGGGATTACAGGTGCCCGCCACCACACCCAGCTAACTTTTTTTATTTTTTTTTTTGTATTTTTAGTAGAGACGGAGTTTCACCATGTTGGCCAGGCTGGTCTTGAAGTCCTGACCTCAGGTGATCCGCCCACCTTGGCCTTCCAAAGTGCTGGGATTACATGTGTGAGCCACCATGCCTGTCCATGTTCTCCATTAAGTTAGAATGTCCTGCCATATCTTTTTTCTTTTTTTTTTTTTTTGAAAGAAGGTCTTGCTCTGTCTCCCAGGCTGGAATGTAGTGGTGCAATCATTGCTCACTGTAACCTTGACCTCCTGGGCTGAAGGGATCCTCCTGCCACAGCCTCGCTAGTAGCTGGGACTGCAGGCACACACCTGTAGTCCCAGCTACTTGGGAGGCTGAGGTGGAAGAATCACTTGAACCCGGGAGGCAGAGGTTGCAGTGAGCCGAGACTGGGCCACTGCACTCCAGCCTGGGCAATAGAGTGAGACCCTGCTCCAAAAATAAAAAATAATACGACGTTTGCATTGTTAATTAATGCACAGTCCAGAATCTTTGATGGAATTACGGACATTGCAAACACTTTCCAGAGATCTGTACTCACATTCAAAAAGCAGGCTTCTGTTCTAAGCGGGTGGGGGTAGGAAATCTCTTTCTTTTAATAAAGTAAATGTGTGATCAGTGATCTTGTATTTAATACTTGAGGTACTTGAATTATTTTGTCTTTTTAATTCTCTTAATGTATGGAGACAGTTAAATCTTAATGGAAAGCCCAACATAACACTGGGAGAGTAAGTGGAGACCGAGTTGTGTGGCTCCGTCTCTTCTGTTGAAACTCTTCAGGGTGGATTTCGTGTGTGTTCGGGCTCAGGGAGGACAGGTTGCGGGTTAAGCATCACAAGCATATGTTTATTTTTGGCTGAGTACTTACAGGGCTTAAAGTGTATGCATTTTATCTTTCCGCCTAGGACAACAAAAGTAAAACCAGCGTGGGTTTTGCTTCTCACTGTTGTTTTTGCCCCCTGTAAGGTTATATAAAAAACACAGAGAAGTTAAACTACGGGAAAGAACATCAGTATAAGCTGACCGTCACTGCCTATGACTGTGGGAAGAAAAGAGCCACAGAAGATGTTTTGGTGAAGATTAGCGTTAAGCCCACCTGTGCCCCTGGGTGGCAAGGTGAGCCTCATTCTCTCCCTGGCACTCACATCTGTTCTCTTTTTTTTTTTTTTTGAAACAGAGTCTTGCTCTGTCACCAGGCTGGAGTGCAGTGGCGGGATCTCGGCTCACTGAAAGCTCCGCCTCCCGGGTTCACGCCATTCTCCTGCCTCAGTCTCCCGGGTAGCTGGGACTACAGGCACCCGCCACCTCGCCTGGCTAATTTTTTGTATTTTTAGTAGAGACGGGATTTCACCGTGTTAGCCAGGATGGTCTCGATCTCCTGACCTTGTGATCCGCCCCCCTCGGCCTCCCAAAGTGCTGGGATTACAGGCGTGAGCCGCCACGCCCGGCCACATCTGTTCTTAAAACTGATACGCTGCAGCAACCTAAAGTGTGTGTTTTCCTTCTCTCCTCCCCTGCTGATCTGTGGACCAACACAGGCTGGAACAATAGGATTGAGTATGAGCCGGGCACAGGCGCGTTGGCCGTCTTTCCAAATATCCACCTGGAGACATGTGATGAGCCAGTTGCCTCAGTACAGGCCACAGTGGAGCTAGAAACCAGCCACATAGGGAAAGGCTGCGACCGAGACACCTACTCGGAGAAGTCCCTCCACCGGCTCTGTGGTAAGGAGACCAGGCGTTCCTGCATCCGGCTGGCTTCGGTGAAGGTGGGAGGGACCTTTACAACTGAAAATACTTGTGTGTGTTGTGTTCCTAATTATAAACTGTGATAGAAAATCTACATTTCTGAAATGAACTTTGCTGCCTTGCTGGCTAGTTTTAATACTGGATGGGCTTTGAATATGTTCAAACATCTATTGAATACGTTGTGTATATGTGCATTTTAAGAACCACTGGTGGCCAGGTATGGTGGCTTATGCCTGTAATTCCAGCACTTTAGGAGGCCGAGGTGGGAAGGTCACTTGAGCCCAGGAGTTTGAGACCAGCCTGGGCAATACAGCGAGACCCCATCTCTACAAAAAAATTGAAAAATTAACTGGGGATGTTGGCATGCACCTGCAGTTCCAGCTACTTGGCAGGCTGAGGTGGGAGGATCACCTGAACCCGGGAGGTTGAGGCTACAGTGAGCTGTGATGGCACCATTGCACTCCAGCCTATAGAGTGCAATAGAGCGAGACCCTGTTTTAAAAAAAGAACCACTGATTTGAAGGAAGTATTTCTCCAACATACATTGAGAATCATCCAAAAAGGGCTTCTATAGGAATACATGGAGTGAGTTTTACATGAAATGAGATGTTTACTTACACACTGAAGAAAAAGGCCAGGGTGCGGGGGCTCATGCCTGTAATCTTAGCACTTCGGGAGGCTGAGGCGGATAGATTGCTTGAGCTCAGGAGTTCGAGACCAGCCTGGGCAATATGGCGAAACCCTGTCTCTGCAAAAAAATACAAAAACTAGCCAGGCGTGGTGGTGCACGCCTGTAGTCCCAACTACTTGGGAGGCTGAGGGAGGAGGATCGCTTGAGCCCAGGAGGTGGACGTTGCAGTGAGCCAAGATCACACCACTGCATTCCAGCCTGGATGACAGAGTGAGAACCTGTCTCAAAAAGAACGGAAGGAAACATATAAGTAATATGATAGCTTTTGACAAACATGAACTAGAAAATCAAAACTAAAGATAGCCACATCTAACTTAGAATCTTCATAGACTTTCTATATCACAATATTGTGTGGAGAAATTGAGAGACAGAATTAGTGGGAGACCCACCAGAAGGCTAGGTCTCTCTCTTTACTGTCGGCTATGGATATTTTTCTGGCTTTTGGCTTATCTAAATGAAGAAGAAGTGAGGTATGGATGGCTGTCATGGAAGATGCTGAGGGAAGAGCATGTAGTTGGCTGGTGATAAATCCCACTAAATGAAGCACCATTTTCATAAACTGGAAGTATATGAGTATACTGGGGTGTGGCAACTCCGAATCCAACTATTCGTAATTGTCACCTCAATATATGTAAGTCAGGAGGTCTGGCACATTTTCGGTTTTAAACCATGCATGTAATTATAGTGTATGAAATTTATTCTGTTTCTCATTTCATGGTATTAAGCGAATTTTTTTTCAGCAGAATAAAGTTAGGAAGAATAGAAAGAATTTGAGTGCTTACTATATACCAGGCACTTTTTCTTTTTCTTCTTTTTTTCTTTTTTCTTTGAGACAGAGTCTCCCTCTGTCGCCCAGGCTGGAGTGCAATAGTGCAATCTTGGCTCACTGCAACCTCTGCCTCCCGGGTTCAAGTGATTCTCCCGCGTCAGCCTCCCAAGTAGCTGGGATTACAGGCAACCATCATCATACCCGGCTACTTTTTGCATTTTTAGTAGAGATGGGGTTTTACCATGTTGGCCAGGCTGGTCTCCAACTCCTGACCTCAAGTGATCCACCCACCTCGGCCTCCCAAAGTGCTGGGATTACAAGCATGAGCCACCGTGCCTGGCCTTACGCCAGGTACTTCTATGTGTGTTTTAGCGTAGTCTTTCCAGCAAGCCTACAGAGTAGGTGGGTATTGACCTTGTTACAGAGGAATTAAACAATTGAGACTAAAGCAGGTTAAGTAGCTTGCTCAAGGCCACATATTCAGGAGCTGAGGTTTTAGTGTGTGTGTGTGTGTGTGTGTGTGGTTTCTTTTTTTTTTTAGATAGAGTCTCGCTGTCGCCCAGGCTGGAATGCAATGGTGCTATCTTGGCTCACTGCAACCTCCACTTCCCGTGTTAAAGTGATTCTCCCACCTCAGCCTCCCAAGTAACTGGAATTACAGGCATCTGCCTTCATGTCTGGCTAATTTTTGTAGTTTTGTAGAGACAGAGTTTCCCCATGATGGCCAGGCTGGTCTTGAACTCTTGACCTCAGTCGATCTGCCCTCCTCAGCCTCCCAAAGTTCTGGGATTACAGGCGCAAGCCACCACGCCTAGCCTCAGGAGCTAAGATTTGGACCAAGGTCTTCTGTTACTCTCTAAAAGACCAGGCTGGTCCAGCCAAGGCCTGCTGCTCCGAGTAATAGCTTAGTCAAGAAGGAGCTTGCAAAATCTTTTCCTGTGGACAAAAAAAATATTTTTTTAATTTGAATGTGGCAATACATAAGAACAGTTGGAAAACATTTTTTGTGTTCTTTGACTTAGTAATTTCATTTCTAGGAATTTATTTTAAGGGAATAATCATGGAGACACACAAAGCTGTGCATGCAGGTGAGGTTTAATAGGAAAAGGTTAGGGACAGCCTCAGTGCCCAGCTGGGAGGCCGGTCAGTAAGTGATGCTGTATCTGTACAATGAAATGCTATTCAGGCCAGGCGTGGTGGCTCACACCTATAATCCCAGCACTTTGGGAGTCTGAGGTGGGTGGATTGGTTGACCCCAGTAGTTGGAGACTAGCCTGGGCAACATGGCGAAACCCCATCTCTACAAAAAACACAAAAATTAGCTGGGCGTGGTGGCATGCGCCTGTGGTCCCAGCTACTTTGGAGGCTAAGGTGGGAGGATTGCTTGAGCTCGGGAGGTCGAGGCTGCATTTAAACCAACACTGCACCACTGCACTGCAGCCTGAGCGACAGAGGAGACCCTGTCTCAAAAAAAAAAAAAAAGAAAGAAAGAAATGCTATTCAGATATTTTAAATTACATGATAGAAGAATATTACTAGGAATATACACATATTATGCACATACATAGCAGGACTCCACTTTTATTTTATTTGTTTATGTATATTTTGAGACAGGGTCGCACTCGCCCAGGCTGGAGTGTGGTGGCACAATCACAGTTCACTGCAGCCTCAACCTCCTGGGCTCAAGTGATCCTCCCACCTCAGCCTCCCGAATAGCTGGGACTACAGGGATACACCACCACACTTGGCTAATTTTTGTGTTTTTTGTGTTGGTTTTTTTTGTGTGGGGTTTCGCCATGTTGTCCAGGCTGATCTCCAACTCCTGGGCTCAAGCAATCTGTGTGCCTTGGCCTCCCAAAGTGCTGGGGTTACAGGTGTGAGCCACCATACCTGGCCAGGACTCCCATTTTTCTAAGAAAACACATCATTTTTGGGTATATTTATCAAAGGAGGACTGCGTGTTTATACTAAAATGGTATAATTTGGATCAGATTACCAGAAATGCTTCCTTTCCTTTCCTTTTTTTTTTTCTTTTTTTTTTTTTTTTGAGGTGGATCCTTACTCTGTTGCCCAGGCTGGAGTGCAGGGGCAGGATCTCGGCTCACGACAAGCTCCACCTCCCGGGTTCACACCATTCTCCTGCCTCAGCCTCCCGAGTAAGTGGGACTACAGGCACGCGCCACCACACCCAGCTGATTTTTTGTATTTTTAGTAGAGACGGTGTTTTACCATGTTAGCCAGGATGGTCTTGATCTCCTGACCTTGTGATCCGCCTGCCTTGGCCTCCCAAAGTGCTGGGATTACAGGCGTGAGCTACCACGCCTGGCCCTTTCCCTTCCTTATACAAATCCATGGTTGTTACTTTTATTTTTGTAATTTAAAACCCTGATTTTTGAAGAGAAGTAAACTGAAAGGTCCAAGTGTGGTGGCTCATGCCTGTAATCCCAGCACTTCGGGAGGCCGAGGTGGGCGGATCACGGGGTCAGGAGTTCAAGACCAGCCTGACCAACATGGTGAAACTCCGGCTCTACTGAAAATGCAAAAATTAGCCAGGCGTAGTGGTGCGTGCCTGTAATCCCAGCTACTTGGGAGGCTGAGGCAGGAGAATCGCTTGAACCTTGGAGGTGGAGGATGCAGTGAACCAAGATTGCGCCACTGTACTCCAGCCTGGGTGACGGAGCAAGACTCTGTCTCGAAAAAAAAAAAAAAAGTAAACTCGAACCAGCAGATTGCCTAAGTGTAAGACAAGCATGTGCCTGGGGGCTTGAGGTGCACGGGACCTCTGGCTCCTCATGTGAGTTTCACTGAGCACTGTGGCTTCAGGTGCAGCCGCGGGCACTGCCGAGCTGCTGCCATCTCCAAGTGGCTCCCTGAACTGGACTGTGGGCCTCCCCACCGACAATGGCCACGACAGCGACCAGGTGTTTGAGTTCAATGGCACCCAGGCAGTGAGGATCCCGGATGGCATCGTGTCGGTCAACCCCAAAGAGCCATTCACCATCTCCGTGTGGATGAGACACGGGCCTTTTGGCAGGAAGAAGGAGACGATTCTTTGCAGTTCTGATAAAACAGGTAGGGTAATAGCTCTGCAAGCGATGCCGGGCCCCAGTGTCCAGTGGGGTGGATGCTGGCAGTGGACTCCCTCTCCTTTCCCAGGGCCCGATGCCAGGCCTGGTGCTCGTAGGCCATGTGCTGTGCTGTGTGCCTGGGGCACGTCCCCGAGGGCCACGGCCTGGGCTTTTGGATATTTGCTATTGTTGCTCAGTGGGGTCCACGGTGATCACAGGCTCCGCTTCTCAGGAAAGCCCGGGTGTATTTGTTTCTAAGCTCCGTCTTGGCTCAGCTGAAGAGTTCATTTATGCAGATGAAATTGTGTCTTCAAAATCCATTCAAGAAACAGCTTTTATTTCTCCTTTGGGTCTTTAGTTGGCAATTTACCCATAGAAACTGCCTTTGCAGATATGAATCGGCACCACTACTCGCTCTACGTCCATGGGTGCCGGCTGATCTTCCTCCTCCGTCAGGATCCTTCTGAGGAGAAGAAATACAGACCTGCAGAATTCCACTGGAAGTTGAATCAGGTGAGTGAATTGAAAATGCACTATTAGGGCTGGGCAAGCTGCTCACGTCTATAATCCCAGCACTTTGGGAGGCTGAGGCATGAGGATTGCTTGAGCGCAGGGGTTCGAGACCAGCCTGGGCAACATACTGAGATCCTGTCTCTACAGAAAAAACAACAACAAAAAAACCATGAAAATTAGCTGGGCATGGTGGCACACGCCTGTAGTCCCGGCTACTTGGGGAGCTGAGGTGGGAGGATTGATGGAGCCCAGGAGATCAAGGCTGCAATGAGCTGCGATTGTGCCACTGCACTCCAGCCTGGATGACAGAGTGAGACTCCGTCTCAAAAGAAAAAGAAAAACACTAATTATGATCTTCTAAGAGAGAGTAAGCAGGTACTGCAACCTTGCACGTGACTGGCTGTGTATAGTCAGTGTATATTTATAATTTTATGATTTCTGTGTCTGTGGGTAATAGGGTAGCAAATTAAATCTGACAACTTTCCACTAAAAGCCTACATTTTTTCCCATATATTTTATATATACAGTATTGCTATAAAAATTGTGTATTTTATATTCGAAATACTGTTATTGAAATAAGCAGTGTTTGTTTAAAATTGGGATTGAAGCTGGGCATGGTGGCTCATGCCTGTAATCCCAGCACTTTGGGAGGCTGAGGCAAGTGGATCACCTGAGGGTCAGGAGTTCGAAACCAGCCTGACCAATATGGTGAAACCCCGTCTCTACTAAAAATACAAAAATTAGCTGGGCGTGGTGGTGTGTGCCTGTAATCCCAGCTACTTGGGAGGCTGAGACAGAATTGCTTGAACCTGGGAGGTGAAGGTTGCAGTGAGCCAAGATCGCGCCATTGTATTCCAGCCTGGGTGACAGAGCAAGACTCTATCTTAAAAAAATAAAAATAAAATAAATAAATAAAATACAATTGGGATTGAGATTCTTGTGTTTATTTATGCATCATTTAAAGCCTTGGCTCCTAAACTGTGCCAGGAAGCCCCAGGTGAATCAGCAGTTCTCAGCATCACAGGATATCTTAAATTTTCAAGGAACCAGCAATCTTGGCACCTTTCAGGTGCCACACAAACTGCTTCTTGAACTAGTTGACAGTTTTGACCTTAGGTAAAGTTACATTCCTTTTGATGATGTCATGCCTTTGCAAAGCTAATTTTCCTTTTTGGTGGTGGTGGTGGTGGGGTTTTTTTTTTTGTTTTTGTTTGTTTGTTTGTTTTGTTTTGTTTTGTTTTGTTTTGTTTGAGACGGAGTCTCGCTGTGTCGCCCAGGCTGGAGTGCAGTGGCTGGATCTCACCTCACTGCAAGCTCCGCCTCCTGGGTTCACGTCATTCTCCTGCCTCAGCCTCCCGAGTAGCTGGGATTACAGACGCCCGCCACCACGCCTGGCTAGTTTTTTGTATTTTTTAGTAGAGACGGGGTTTCACCTTGTTAGCCAGGATGGTCTCAATCTCCTGACCTCGTGATCCGCCCGTCTCGGCCTCCCAAAGTGCTGGGATTACAGGCTTGAGCCACCGTGCCTGGCCTGTTTTTTTCTTTTTTTTAAGACGGAGTCTCACTCTGTCGAGTGCAGTGGGACGATCTTGGCTCACTGCAGCCTTTGCTTCCTGGGTTCAAGCAGTTCTCCTGCCCAGCCTCCTGAGTAGCTAGGACTACAGGCATGTACCACCATGCCCTGCTAATTTTTGTATTTTTAATAGAGACGAGGTTTCACCATATTGGCCAGGCTAGTCTTGAACTCCTGACCTCAAGTGATGCACCCACTTTAGCCTCCCAAAGTGCTGGGCATGAGCCACTGTGCCCAGCCGCAAAGCTAATTTTCTAGCAGTTGCTGTGATAAAAAGCAAATATCCTGTGAAAAACCCCACATGTTACAGGAAACGAGAGAGCACTGTAAAATGAGAAACCTCATTAAAATCAGAATAGATCATTTCTTCTTTTGAGGCAGAGTTGGGATGAGAAGGAAACCTTTGGCCTTATCATCATTTATTTGTCTTGTGGAGCTAGTGGGCAAAAGCTGACATATGTTATATGTGCCTGCAGTTACTAAAATATAATATTGTCTAAAATAATCATAGGATAGATCAAAGTAAAAGAGAATACATGAGAAAGGAAAAAGTATATGATAGTGGAAAGATGAAGTGGGTGTCCAGTTGGTAGCATTCATCTCTTTTTTTTTTTTGAGACGGAGTTTCGCTCTTGTCGCCCAGGCTGGAGTGCATTGGCGCCATCTCAGCTCACTGCAAGCCTGCAAGCTCCGCCTCCTGGATTCAAGCGATTCTCCTGCCTCAGCCTCCTGAGTAGCTGGGATCACAGGCATGCGCCACCACACCCTGCTAATTTTTGTATTTTTAGTGGAGATGGGGTTTCTCCGTGTTGGTCAGGCTGGGTAGCATTCATCTCTTATTGGTGTATTTTTTTATTTACGTGAGTGATTGTTTCTCAGAAACTATTATGATAATTATTTTCAAGAAACTAAAGAGGCCAGGCACAGTGGCTCAAGCCTGGAATCACAGCACTTTGAGAGGCTGAGACAGATGGATCACGAGGTCAGGAAATCGCGACCATTCTGGCTAACATGGTGAAACCCATCTTTACTAAAAATACAAAAAATTAGCCGGGCATGATGGCGGGTGCCTGTAGTCCCAGCTACTCACGAGGCTGAGGCAGGAGAATGGTGTAAACCCGGGAGGTGGAGCTTGCAGTGAGCCAAGATCGTGCCACTGCACTCCAGCCTGGGCAAAAGAGCGAGACTCCGTCTCAAAAAAAAAAGAGAAGAAACTAAAGAAAGGCTTTGTCCTGGAAAAATATTTTTCAACATAGGTAGACATTTTAGATACAGTTCTGTTATGGTAGCCATATTCTGTATGTATATATTTAGTATCTTCTAAGTATATACTGTTTAAAAACTGTATTATGGAAAATTTCAAACTTATATAAAAGCAGACAGATTAGTGTAAAGAATAGCCCTGTTTGCCCTTATACCTTCAACAACTGCCAACTCTTGGTCAGTCTTCTTTCATTGTTACCCCTATTCGCTGCTGAAAATTTTTATTATGCCCTCAAATATTACTTAATAATTTTCAAGAAATCCCAAATAGAGCATTTCATTCTTGTAGATGCCTGTATGTCATTATGTATCTCTGATAGACTAGCAAAATCACAGCACTCTTTCACATTAAAAAAAAAAAACAGTAAAATTGCTAATATGATCAAATAGTCAATGTTCAGATTTCAAGTAGCCTTATAAATGTTTTTGTTTTTACAATTTGTTTGAGTTACGACCCAGATAAGGGGCCCGCCACTGCAGCTGGCTGATGCGGTTTCACACGCTCATTCATCACGGGATGGGAACACAGGTTGATTTGGGGTGCCCTTTGAGCTGATGTTCATATTTATTGAGATCATCAACTTTGAGTTGGAAAATAAAATACATGTACTGTGGTATGCCTTATTCTGAGATTAAAGGCACTTTTTTTTTGGGGGGGGGAGATAGAGTCTTGCTCTGTCACCGGGCTGGATTGCAGTGGCACAATCTCAGCTCACTGTAACCTTTGTCTCCCAGGTTCAAGCAATTCTTGTGCCTCAGCCTCCTGAGTAGCTGGGTCTACAGGTGTGCACCACCACACCTGGCTAATTTTTGTAATTTCGGTAGAGACGGGTTTTCGCTATGTTGGCCAGGCTGGTCTCAAACTCCTGACCTCAAGTGATCTCGCCTTGGCTTCCCAAAGTGCTGGGATTACAGGCGTGAACCACTGCGCCTGGCCTAAAGGCACTTTTTATTTTTATTCAGAAAAGGAATGGCCAGTGGCAAACTAACTCAACCCTTTAAAGGGTGGGTATCCAGCTTGCCCATACAGGAACTTCCTGGTGCTATGCTATTGGCAGAGCAGAACTGGGCAGCTCCCCGCTTGGGCTGTGTCCTGTGGTTGTGAGCAACGCATGCCACGTAGTTTAGAGATGGCCTAGAGAGGCTGGACTTCTTTTGGTGAGATGTATTTGCAGGTATTTTGTGGTTAGATTTTCTTCATCCTTTTCCTTCTAGGAAGACCCTTGTTTTGGGTGACTTGGTTTCCATGGGCATTGATGAGAAGGAAAGTGGACATCTCACCACCCCCGCTTTCCTTTGTCTCTGTAGGTCTGTGATGAGGAATGGCACCACTACGTCCTCAATGTGGAATTCCCGAGCGTGACTCTCTATGTGGATGGCACGTCCCACGAGCCCTTCTCTGTGACTGAGGATTACCCGCTCCATCCATCCAAGATAGAAACTCAGCTCGTGGTGGGGGCTTGCTGGCAAGGTAACTGTCATTACCCCTAGCCCTCGACTCGAGAATTAAGTTGTACCTCTTTACTAGGTTGGTGGCAGCAGGCTGTGGTCAGCGTCTTACAGCCTTACCTTCGTGTCCTGGATATCTTCCTTCCATTTCCTGTGTGCATCCTATTTGGGGACATTGCCGATGCCCCACTCTAGCTAGTGTAGCTCCATCTGTGGGTGCTCCATAAAGGTGATAGGACTGACCACACCGTCACCTTTCCCGGAAACCCAGGAGGGAGCATTGCACAGAGGGAGAGTGTAGTGGGGGGAACTGTTTTATAAATTAATCCGTCTGTTGAAAGGCTCACAAGGACAAAGAGGCAACAGCAAGAGTCAGGCAGAGAAATAAAGGACACAGAAGTAGAAGCGTGCCTTGGACCTGGAGGACTCTTCCAGAGTGTTTATCACTTGGTGACCTGGTAGGAGGGCTGTGAGGGCTCTGTTCACCCTCAGCAAGGGCCACGCATGGGGGAGGGTTCCATCGAAGTCTGCTGAGAGGGGACACGATAACCACCAGAGCACCAGTGCTTGTTACTTGTACTTACCAAGTGGCAGGCTGTGTGCCAACTCCTTTCTACACGTCATCTCACCTAAACCTTAAAATCCCTTTTTTATAGCTGAAGAAACTCAGGCCTAGAGATGCAACAAGCCAAGCGGCACCCAGCTGATTAATCAGGAGCTAGGGTTTTGAATTTTTTTACTTTGAAAATCCTGTGGGTCAGGCGTGGTGTCTCACGCCTATAATGCCAGCACTTTGGGAGACCGAGGCAGGCTGATCCCTTGAGGTCAGAAGTTCGAGACCAGCCTGGCCAACATGGTGAAACCCTGTCTCTACTAAATATACAAAAGTTAGCCAGGCATGGTGGCATGTGCCTGTGATCCCAGCTACTCAGGAGGCTCAGGCAGGAGAATCAGTTGAACCGGGAGGCAGAGGCTGCATGAGCCAAGAATGCCCCATTACACTCCAGCCTGAGCAACAGAGTGAGACCCTGTCTCAAAAGAAAAAGAAAAACCTCTGTATTCCAGGCCCACGCTCAGACCCACCAGATCAGTGTTTTTATTATTTTAATTTTTTATAAACATGGGGTCTCACTGTGTTGCCCAGGCTGATCTCAAACTCCTAGGCTCAAGAGATCCTCCCACCTCAGACTCCTAAAGTACTGGGGTTACAGGTGTGAGCCACCGTGCCCGTCTCAGACCTGGGGTTTTAAGCCCTTTTTTGTGCCGTGGAGCCCTTGGGTGGTCTGGCAAGGCAGATAGATCCCTTCTTACTAATCTACAAAATAAATGTCTAGGATTTCAGGGCAATCAGTTCAACTGAAACATCGTTATTAACATCCTGAAATACCACATTTGTGAAACAGTAACACCGGTGGTACTTTATGTTAACAAATGAAGAACCAGCTTTAGCAGCAGGTCCAACAGTGATTAAGTTCCAAGTTGTGAGGGCTGTGTGAGGATCCCGGTGGCAGCTGCAACAGCTGTGGCCTGATATGCAAATATCAGTGCCTTCTGTTGGTGACAGAGTTGCAGTCATTGCTAACACTGCTGTGATGTATAGCCTACATTTATAACCAAAGGAAATGCTGAATTTCAGAAGTTAGTGGAAATAAGCATGTAGTTTTTCCTATCCAAGTTCATGGAACCCACCCCGGAGGTTCGTGATTGCCACTTTGACCCTTGCACTGGACTCTGTGCTGTGTCATTTCAAGATGTCATCATCATCAATTACTTTTTGATTTTTTTTTTTCTCCCTGTGGAAACATTGTACCTCGAGTAAGGTTAGAAATTTATGGAAGATAGCTGGGCGCAGTGGCTCACACCTGTAATCCCAGCACTTTGGGAGACAGAGGCAGGCGGATCACTCGAGATCAGGAGTTCGAGACCAGCCTGGCCAACATGACAAAACCCTGTCCTTAGTAAAAATACAAAAATTAGCCAGGCATGGTGGCGTGTGCCTGTAATCCCAGTTACTTGGGAGACAGGAGAATCACTTGAACCTGGGAGGCGGAGGTTTCTGTGAGCCAAGATCATACCACTGCACTCCAGCCTGGGCAACAGAGTGAGACTCTGTCTCAAAACAAACAAACAAAAGCCCCACAGATTCTGTAAAACTCAGTTAACAGGAGAGAGGATCTCCTCTTCTTTTTTTTCGGTGGATTCTGCCACTTTTGCTACACCTTTGCCGTGGAGAGCTTGGGCTGTGGGCAGCAGCTTCATTCCCTTCTACCAGCGTGTTGTAGGGGAATCTTGGTGTGTGTGGAGGTTGCACAGTCCTATGACTCACATGGGCTTCACCTGGATACAACTCTAGCCTTGCCCTTCGACATGTCCCCACACAGCCGCAGCCCAAAAGGGGCCCCAGCACACCATAGAGGGGAGGGCTACAGGGCTGCAGGGCTTGAGGAGCGGCCTTTCTCCTACAACATGACCTGGAGAGTGCTGGTTCTGTGCTCAGCCGCCACATGTGGGCCTTTCTGGTAGGTCGTTATAGTCAGGACACTGGATCCAGGAGCTGGAGGAGCTGAAGGTGGTTAGGGTCCCCAGGTCCACAGTAGGCTATGCTTCCCTAGGTGGGTTCCTTAGCCTCTGCTTCTCCCTCTCATTCAGAAAAAGTGATTGAAAATGTCTTCTTTCCTCTGTCACCCAAAGATTAACCGCTAGACAGCTGTACACTTGTTTGGAGCTTCCAAAATATACGGACTTCCGCATGTTTACTTTGTACCAGGCTTTGGACACGTGTGCGCCATGCTGTTTTGCCTGCACAGTGTCTTCCCTATTAGGAAAAGAGGTGCTGTGGATCCGGAACTTGGTGTTATTTATATCGGGAATAGCGCTGCAGCCCAGGCTCACCCTCTGTGGAGTGTCCTACTTCATAGCGCGGATTGGGGAGGGGAACGAATTCCGTGTGTGTACTTTCATTCATCTTATTTTGAATCTAACGTATGTTTTGGCAAGGAGGATGTGGGAAGGTGGAATAAAAGAAGAAAACAAAAGAAGCCTGGGGTTGGGGGTGGTAAATGTCACGTCTGGGAAAAGGTGATCCAGTACAAGCTTGCATCCAGATGGGTACATCCCAGAGCGGGATCACAAAGGAATTTTCTCTTCTTGGTTTATACTTGGTTGCCTCAAACCTGGTTTTCAAGGTCTGGTTTGAAGACCCTAACCTCTTGGTCCTTTTCTATTGTCTTTGTCTTGCTTTTCCACAGAGTTTTCAGGAGTTGAAAATGACAATGAAACTGAGCCTGTGACTGTGGCCTCTGCAGGTTGCTGGATTTTTTCCTTACATTCACTGTTGTGTTTCATTTAAAGATGAGATACTGATTCATTCCACGTGTAGCATGAAATGCCCCAGTTGCATTTTGGTCCCGGACACCATCTGAGCCGCTTCCCTGCATTGCGCTTCCCCATTGCTTCTTGGAGTTCCCTTTTCTGCCCATTCTGACCCCAGCTGGAGTGAGGACAAATGACATCTCAGGCAGTGCACGCATGGGACTTTTCCCCCCATCCAGTTTGACCCTGACCCCACTGCATGAGGCTCCCTGCTTTTTCAGTCTCACAGGCAGGGTTTGGGAGGCCGCCTCGTGACTGTCATGCGGCTGAACCACGAGACAGGGAAAGACTTGTTTCTAGATATTCTGTCCTGGTTGGCAGTAAATTTTAAATCGACTTTTTTTTGTTTGTTTGTTTGTTTTTGAGACGGAGTCTTGCTCTGTTGTCCAGGGTGCAGTGGCGCGATCTTGGCTCACTGCAACCTCTGCCTCCTGGGTGCAAGCAATTCTCCTGTCCCAGCCTCCCGAGTAGCTGGGACTACAGGCGTGCACCACCATGCCTAGCTAATTTTTGTATTTTTAGTAGAGATGAGGTTTCGCCAGGCTGGTCTCGAACTCCTGACCTCAGGTGATCCACCCACCTCAGCCTCCCAGAGTGCTGGGATTACAGGCGTGGGCGTTTCTTAGAAGCCTCAATTCCTAGTGATGATTTACAGCACCTGATTTCCTTGCCAGAATGAGACACATTGCTGAAAATGTCCCTTTTCCTTCTTCAGTTTAAGAACAAGGTTTAGTGTAACCTGTTTTTGGCTCTTTGTTGTCATCTATCAAGGGCCATTTTCTGGGTTTTGGTTTTCCTTGTAACATCTGCACTTCTCAGCAGTCCTCAGGAGGAGGCAGGAAGGATGGGACTCAATACCATAGCATCCTTGAAATAGGCCGTTCTGTACAGGGAGTATTTTAAGACTCCCTTTTATCCTTCCTGCCTCGCTTGTGTGGGTTCATTCCCCAGGGCGTGCCAGGTAGAGAAAACAGCCACGTGGAACCCAGCCACCTGAGAAGGCTGGAGAGGCTGGTGGCGTAGGAAGTGTCACCATGCACCCTGGTGGTGAGAACAGGGTAGGCCACCTTACTGGGGAGTGGCCAGAGGTGTGGGGACCCTCAGGGAACCTCTTGGCTTCAGGTGAGGCGCCCCCAACTCTCCCTTTCTCCAGGCCATGTGCATGATCATAAACGGTTTAATTTCTTCATTGCGCTTCCATGTAGATTGCAAGGCTAACAGGACTTGGTATGAACTAACCCGCATGTCCATCCACCGAGCTGCCAGCACCAGTAACACCGTCTTGAGTGAGAAGTGAGTTGGGTGATGCCGAGCTGCATGCCTGACTCTTCCGCCTTTTTTCCCGACCCGAAGGTGGCGACCTGCACATGACCCAGTATTTCCGAGGCAATCTGGCTGGCTTAACTCTCCGTTCCGGGAAACTCGCAGATAAGAAGGTGATCGATTGTCTGTATACCTGCAAGGAGGGGCTGGACCTGCAGGTCCCGGAAGACAGTGGCAGAGGCGTGCAGGTAACACAGAGCGCTCCACTGCACAGCACCCATGGGCCCCGGAGGCTGCAGCCCCAGAGGCTGGTGGGATGAGGGAGTCATCTGTGATTGATCCGTTTACTGTTGGGTTAAAGAGTTGTGTTTGCTGGACTTAAACGAGCTTTTCTTTTTCAAGTCAGCAATTCCAATCGACCCCAGGCCAGTCCCCTTCGTAGAGGCATCCGTGGTTTCAGCTCCTGCAGTTACCGCCTTATTCCCCTTCTCTGTGTGTCTGATGTGATTTCAGATCCAAGCACACCCCAGTCAGTTGGTATTGACCTTGGAGGGAGAAGACATCGGGGAATTGGATAAGGCCATGCAGCACATCTCATACCTGAACTCCCGGCAGTTCCCCACGCCCGGAATTCGCAGACTCAAAATCACCAGCACAATCAAGTACGTCCTGATTTTCAACAGTAGGCCTGTTTCGCCCAATGACACTTGATTATTTAGGTTTTTAAGACAGCCTAACCCCTTCTGTAGGGAAAGGTGAGCCGTCGTGTGTTACCAGAAAGTGCGGGGGAGAGATCTGAGTGACATTTATGCATCATGTTTGCAAGTGTGTTCCTGGAGTGGCCCCGGCAGGTGTTAGGAGGGGCCTGTGTATCCCACCTCCATGTGCCTTTGCACAGGTGGGCTCCAAGATCGGCTCCCAAAGCCCTGACCCTTTCCCATTTCTTGCTGGCAGGTGTTTTAACGAGGCCACCTGCATTTCGGTCCCCCCGGTAGATGGCTACGTGATGGTTTTACAGCCCGAGGAGCCCAAGATCAGCCTGAGCGGCGTCCACCATTTTGCCCGAGCAGCTTCTGAATTTGAAAGCTCAGAGGGGGTGTTCCTTTTTCCCGAGCTTCGCATCATCAGCACCATCACGAGAGAAGTGGAGCCTGAAGGGGACGGGGCTGAGGACCCCACAGGTAACGTGCTCTGTGGGGCGCGGCCTGCCTTGCCTCGGCCGGAAGCCCTGCTGTGGCAGTGTATTTGCAGGGCTCTTTGTCTTTGCGGGATCTGGGGAGGTTTTAATGTTTTGTTGGTGTTCTCTCAGGTTGCTTCTGGAATCTGACCCGTGAGCTAGAGCTCAGGGTGATCTCTGGAATCCCATCTGGAGGGGTCTTGCATCTTTTCCTGGTCGCTCTCAGGCTTTGAGATGTGGCTTGAGGTTGAGGGGGTTGAGGGCACTTGCGGGAGACCCTGCTTGTGCCTGCCAAGCTGGTCAGCCCATGGGGGCACAATGTCCCCACAATTTTTACTCGGGACACATGAAACTGCCCCATTTCTTTTTCTTTCTTTTTTTTTTTTTTTTCTTTTTTTGAGTTGGAGGCTCACTCTGTCACCCGGGCTGGAGTGCAGTGATGCGATCTTGGCTCACTGCAACTTCCACCTCCTGGGTTCAAGTGATTCTCCTGCCTCAGCCTCCCAAGTAGCTGGGATTACAGGGACCCACCAAGATGCCCGGTTAATTTTTGTATTTTTAGTAGAGACAGGGTTTCACCCTGTTGGCCATGCTGGTCTCGAACTCCTAACCTCAGGTGATCCACCCGCCTCGGCCTCCCAAAGTGCTGGGATTACACGTCTGGCCATTTCTTGAAAGCAACTCATGCTTCTGTCATGTAGGTTTGGGGTGAGCCGGCAGGGCATCGAGTGTGCCCCACCACGCTGGGCCCCACTGTCCCTGCTATATTTCTGGTTGGGCCTCTTTTGCAGTTCAAGAATCACTGGTGTCTGAGGAGATCGTGCACGACCTGGATACGTGTGAGGTCACAGTGGAGGGAGAGGAGCTGAACCACGAGCAGGAGAGCCTAGAAGTGGACATGGCCCGCCTGCAGCAGAAGGGCGTCGAAGTGAGCAGCTCTGAGCTGGGCATGACCTTCACAGGTAAGGGGAGCGTCGCAGCCATGCTGGTGAGCCAGGCCGCAACAGGGGACCTTGAGAGCTCTTGGCTGGCTGCCGCCTGCCATCTGAGAATGTTGAGTTATCTTAGAGGGAGATGGGGAAGGAGCACGGTCACTGGGATCATTGTTGGCTGCATGCACACTCCTGTCTCCTGGACAGGAATCGGATGGGTAGCCACTACTCTCTAAAGGGGGAGGGTTGAGGCGTGGGATGGCATGTCCCCCGCAGAGGGAAGAATGCCCCTGTGCACACTGCATTTATTCCCATGGCTGGAAGGCCAACTTGTGTGACCCCTTGGCCTAGCTAACCCGGTGTCTGATTGAGCCTGCCTGTGCTGACGGCTGCAGCCCTGCCCATGCTCCTGCCCGAAGCCACCCAGCAATCTTCCCCCTTTCCACCCCCGCAGGTGTGGACACCATGGCCAGCTACGAGGAGGTTTTGCACCTCCTGCGCTATCGGAACTGGCACGCCAGGTCCTTGCTTGACCGGAAGTTTAAGCTCATCTGCTCGGAGCTGAATGGCCGCTACATCAGCAACGAATTTAAGGTGGAGGTGAGTACGGGGCTCCCACAGAGCAGGGCCAATAGCAGCAGTGAGTGAGTGCTCTGATTCGCAGCCCTGATGTTCACAACTGCCAGCCCTTAGAGCATTCACGGTGGCAGCTGTGCAGGCTCATTCTAGGGGGCTGCCTTTCCAGCCTGGGGCCTGCTGCAGGTTACACCTGGGCTTGTTGGAGTGACAGGTTATGTTTGGGGTGGGGGGTGCTCCCCTTTCCCCTGCTGCCTCAGCCTGAATTGTAGCCAAAGGAACCTTGGAGGGAGGTGACAAAGAGCAAGTGGCAGTTAATGCCTCTGGGGCTTCTTGAGATTTCCCATGAGAGAAACAGGAGGATGTTGTTTGATTGATTGATTGATTGATTGAGACGAGTTCTCACTATGTTGCCCAGGCTGGTCTTGTCCCCACTGGGCTCAAGCAATCCACCTGCCTTGGCCTCCCAAAGTGCTAGGATTACAGGCATGAGCCACTGTGGCCAGCCAAGGACGCTGTTTTAGAAAGAGCAGCTCCCAGGGAACCAAAAGTTCTTTGCATCTGTGCCAGGTCACTGGCCCTTCTGTGAATGAAGTTGAGTCTTCGGCCCAGGTTGAGAGGGGCTCATGCAGGGACCCGCACGGGCAGGACCAGTACTGCTGAGGCTGGTGATGGTGACTCACAGGCCACACTGAGTAGAGGGCAGCTCATCCTGCTCTGAGGTCGTCTACAGACCTATCCAGCAGCTGCTTCATTGCTCAGGCCCTCTGTGGCCTGGAGAAAATTGACCCAAAGTTACTCTTAGCAATGGAATATCTCACCACGAACTCAAGAGCAGAATGCTAAATTCGGTGCTGCAGAACCGACGCCTGTTTTGTTTGAGCCAAAGGGGAACAGATTGGAAAGGAAATCAGTGGTAGTGATTGGCGCTGTCTGTCACACGACTGTGGTTTGAGGAAGAAAGGTCTGCGCCAGTGCTTCCCAAATGACCCAGGGGGAGGGCCGTCGGCTTGTTTTTCTGCTCTTGTTTTGAGCATAATCTTTTATAAAATGCAAGAAAAATGGATTGCGGCCAGGTGAGTGGTGCTTGTCTGTAGTCCCAGCTACCTGAGAGGCTGAAGGGGGGGGATTACTTGAGCACAGAAGTTCCAGGCTGCAGTGAGTCGTGATCATGTCTGTGAACAGCTCCTGTGCTCCAGCCTGGGCAGCACAGCAAGACCCAGTCTCAACAAATAATAATAATAATAATAATTAGAAAAGTGATACATTTCTGGAACGTCTGACAATACTAGATTGTTACAGCAGTTTCTAAGTGCTTAGTACTCTCTTTTGTTTGGTTGGTTTTTATTTTTCTGTTTCTGTTTTTTAAGTGCTTACTCTTGATTTTTTTTTTTTTTGGTCTGTCTTTTTCCCGTAGCTCCATTTGCCCCCAGCTGCAGTCCTGGAGTGGCACTGGTCATGCCAGCTGCGTGACTCCACTGTCACCTCTTGGACAGGCTCAGGATGTCTCCAGCGTTCCTTTCTCTTTCTCTGCTGTAGGTGAATGTAATCCACACGGCCAACCCCGTGGAACACGCCAACCACATGGCTGCCCAGCCACAGTTCGTGCACCCGGAACACCGCTCCTTTGTTGACCTGTCAGGCCACAACCTGGCCAACCCCCACCCATTTGCAGGTAGGACAAGGGGAGGGAGACCGAGCGGAGATGCTCCATGCCGTCCGCCCTGCCCCCACCCCACCGTGGGCACAGCCTCCTGCTCAGCATGACTGCCGGTCAGTCCCTGTCCCAATTATTCCCCGTCACACACAAGAAAACGAAAGCCCTCAGAGGGCAGATGATGTCACCCGCAGCCATAGAGCAGGATGTGGCCGAGCCAGATTCGAGGCCCATGCTGAGCTTTTCCTGGTATTTCCTCCTGGCCTCTGGGTTCAGATGAAGCATGCCGTCCAGACCGTTTTGACCAGGCACAGCCGAAGAGGTCAAGGGCACGGTGGCCTTCTGGGCTGAGTGACCTCACTCACGCCTCGCCCCCTCATTCTCCCACAGTCGTCCCCAGCACTGCGACCGTTGTGATTGTGGTGTGCGTCAGCTTCCTGGTGTTCATGATCATCCTGGGGGTGTTTCGGATCCGTGCTGCACATCAGCGGACCATGCGGGATCAGGACACCGGGAAGGAGAACGAGATGGACTGGGACGACTCCGCCTTGACCATCACTGTCAACCCCATGGAGGTAGGAGTGGGCAGGCGACCTCCAAGACTGAGAGGCAGTGCGGGCCAGGGCCTCCGAGAAGCCAGTATGGCGCGACTCCTTCAGGTTCACACGCTTTCCATCGCATCATCTGCTCAGCAAGCCTGGGGCTTAGGTGTCTTCATGGGTAAACCGAGGCTCAGAGAGGCCTTATTCAAGGCCATGCTGCCTACTAAGTGTGGAGATGAGCCGTGCCAGGACTGGGCGCTCTTGGCCATGGGACTCCTGAGAGAATTCTCTGGTGGGGTAGCCGGGGTGCTGTCCCCAGCTGCTTTGTATGTGGGTGACTCCATGGGTACTGACTGGAGCTTTGTTTTCCCTTCACTTCTTTTTTGTTGTTGTTGCTGAGATGGAGTCTCGCTGTGTCGCCCAGGCTGGAGTGCAGTGGCGCCATCTCGGCTCACTGCAAGCTCTGCCTCCCAGGTTCACACCATTCTCCAGCCTCAGTCTCCCAAGTAGCTGGGACTACAGGCGCCCGCCACCACGCCTGGCTAATTTTTTGTATTTTTAGTAGAGATGGGGTTTCACCGTGTTAGCCAGGATGGTCTCGATCTCCTGACCTCGTGAT